CCCACCACAACTCCAGCGACAGCCGTTGGTTTATGTTACACATTCTGCGTGTTCGTACCGCATAGTGGGGGAACCTCGGGAGGGGAAATTTGCTCGTGAGCAACAAGTTAAGCGCCTCTGATGTAGGAGGCTGTATCCTCGCCTCACGCATATTGATAGTGGGGGAACCGGAACACTGGTAGTGGAAGTCGTGAAGCGACAGCGGGGAAGAAGTTGCCCGAGCCTGTTCTATGGCAGAGTTGCTTAACTTCTTGCTCACGAGCAAATTTCCCCTCCCGAGGTTCCCCCACTATGCGACTGAGATGGTCTCGCTCGAGTAAAGTAGCACTACTTGTATTGTACAATTAAAGCGAAGTGATAATTGAAAAAACTGCACAAGATATATCAATTGTTTGATTGATTAAGATATCATTTTGAAATGATAGATGAAATTTCTTTAATTGTCCTCTCACAAATTATTTTTTAAATTGCACAATTATTATTAGCGAATCTGTGTTGTTTTATTTGTAAAATATTTCGTTGATATATTTGGTATCACTCATTATTTGTTTGTGCTTATGTTTGTTATAGTATATGCTTCTGTATTTTTATTTATTACTTTTTTAATTTACTTGTAACAAGAAAATTTTCTTCGCATAACATCAAGTTGAAAATTCAATATCAGCAATGACTGCGATAAGCGAAGTAAAGTATATATCAGAGCCGTTTAACTTCTTGCTCACGAGCAAATTTCCCCTCCGAGGTTCCCCCACTATGCGACTGAGATGGTCTCGCTCGAGTTGCGTCGAGGTGGGAGGAGCACGTGAAGAGCCCCCCCCCCACAACTCCAGCGACTGCCGTTGGTTTATGTTACACATTCTGCGTGTTCGTACCGCATAGTGGGGGAACCTCGGAGGGGAAATTTGCTCGTGAGCAACAAGTTAAGCGCCTCTGATGTAGGAGGCTGTATCCTCGCCTCACGCATATTGATAGTGGGGGAACCGGAACACTGGTAGTGGAAGTCGTGAAGCGACAGCGGGGAAGAAGTTGCCCGAGCCTGTTCTATCGCAAAGTTGCTTAACTTCTTGCTCACGAGCAAACTCCCCTCCCGAGGTTCCCCCACTATGCGACTGAGATGGTCTCGCTCGAGTTGCGTCGAGGTGGCCTCGGGAGGGGAAGTTTGCTCGTGAGCAACAAGTTAAGCGCCTCTGATGTAGAAGGCTGTATCCTCGCCTCACACATATTGATAGTGGGGGAACCGGAACACTGGTAGTGGAAGTCGTGAAGCGACAGCGGGGAAGAAGTTGCCCGAGCCTGGTCTAAACCATTTACCTACAACGCAACTTCCCCTCAAGCGCCTGCAGTGTCAGACCCAAGAGTAGTGGGGATGACCTGACCCGCCTATT